CCTTCTGTCATGCCACAGGGAAACCAGGTCCTGATATAACAAGAAACCAGCCTCTTACTTCATCAGTCCATTGAGCCCTTGATGAAAGAAAAATCAACCAAAACACAAAAGCAGCCCTGTAGAAGTACAGGTAGGATTCACTAGAAAAATGACAGAGTGCCACGAGGAGAGCTATACGAAGTTTAGATATATTTTATATGTTTTAGGTGGAAAATTTTCCATCCATGAAAACCATGGAGTGATGTTAAGTTGGAAGCTCCAGTACAATAGGAGAGATTCTTCCCCAGGGAGACCCAGCAGAATCAACCCAGAAAATGCCTCCTCGTAGAAATGCTTGGGAAACACATTGCATCTACAGAATCAGAACCTCTAGGGTATTTAGCTGTTTAAAAAGCTATGGTAGGAGTCCCCACTATGGCAGCTTCCTTCTCTTGAATTTCACTGAGGTCCCTTAGCTTCCTAATTGCTCTGCACACGCTTTGACAGTTAACCCTCCTACCTAGCTAAGTGGCTTTTCACTCCCTCCGGGCAAAAGTATGTAACTAAAATCACTAAGAGGAGAACTACAGAAGAAAAAAACTTTTTAAAGGAAACTTTTTGCTGAAGCTGCTAAAGATAAATAAAAACTGCAGGAGATAAGTTTTCATGTGGAGTCAAGGGCTGTCTGTGATTTTTCCTCATAAAGGTTCTTAAGGAGCTGGTTTTCTTTGAAGAGTTATTTATAACTTTTTTTAAAGGAAGAGGAAATCCCCAAGAATATTGGCCTATAAATAAATTATTTGCCTATAAATAAATAAATGCACGTACATGCATTTCCCTTGACCTTTTTAGATATATGAGACTATTAATGAGTGAAACAAATTCCCCAGCCACAGAGAAGCCTGCTTACTCCTTTGCCATCACGCGTGTTTATATTTTGTCTCTCAGCTCGTAGGCCTTTCCCGTCTTATTATCTGGAACAGGGCAAGTATCCCAGACACCAGGGAAATCTGGGATGTTAATATTCAATTAAAACAAATCTCTCAAATTGTGATTTCTGTAACTTATTTGTAAATTGTGACTCCAGGATACCAAGTGGTGCTGGGGTCTTCCGTAGTAGGAACTGAAAGAAACGTGAATATGCAAAGGGGTAGCATCCATCCATTTTCCTTGAACAGTTCATTCATTGTGAAGATAAGCTATAATTAAAAGTGGTTGTATGATGAATATACAAAATAGTGCTGTGGTAGAACTTGAAAATTAAAGGCACTGCATTATTAATGGTAGATATCAATTATTTCTTGTAGGTTTCTTAGTTATTTATCATTCACCATTATTAAGACGCACACTTAGTATTGTTTCTTTTATCCCAAGGGCTCTAACATATTCCTCCTTCCTTCCTTGCCTCCACCTCCTCTCTCTGCTTTTGTACGCAGTAAGGATTCTACCTCTAACACCCTTCCCTATTATTCTCCTGCTTTAAGGCTCCAATGAACTTCACTTCTTCCATGAAAATGCCTACATCTACCCAGGAACAAATCATCATTTTTGCACCTGTATCCCTTTTATCATTTGCCTAAAACTTCTTCTATAATAGCCAGTGTCCTAGTTAGCCTGTCTGCTAACAACTCATCATTCTCTGCCGTCAAGGTCACAAACGGTGGTGGCTTCTGACCATTTCATTTTTTTATTTCCTGCCATACATTTCTGTGGATTTATCTCAAAAGAGTGTTTTCACAGTGAACCGAGGTTGTGTCCGTGTACCCAGCATCCTTTTCTTTTTGAGGACTAGAAACACATTTTACCTCTTATTTTGCTTTGCTATCCTGTTTCCTAATGCCCAGCACAGCGACTTGAACTAAACAGATGTTATACAACATTTTGTCACATAAATGAAAGAATGTTTCTGTATGATTGTTCACAATTTCTAATTCCTACCTGGTTATAGCCAATGGTACTCATTACTAAGATGATTAACTGGGATGTTGTTTATGGCCCACAATTATTATTTTTACTATGAATCTGGCTCAAGAAAAAAAAAAAATCTGTGATTTTTTGAATTGTAAGGCCATAATCCAAATAAGACAGAACTATCCATATATGAAATTATTGAAAAGGAATTGATTGCCTTGAATCTAAAAAACAAAATTCTACATGAAAGCCAGATGCAGGTGGTATACTCTTGCAGTCCCAGCACTCTGGGAAGCTGAGGCAAGAAGAATATAAATTCAAGCCCAGCCTAAGCCACTTAGGAAGACCCTACAAAATCAAAAATTAAATGGGTTGGGAATATAGCTCAGTGCAAAGGCCCTATGTTCAATTCACACACACACACACACACACACACACACACACACTAGCAGGCATGCATGCATCCCAAACAATCCCCCCTAAAAACATCACTGTATAATGGATGCCAGTGGTAGTTTTGAGAATAGTTTTCAAATTAAGATAAGTCACCTAACCTTGACACAAAAACTCAATTTGGAGAGCCTCACAGTTACCTAAATGATAAAATAACACAACAAGTTGATCTTAAGACAGTTACATGCTTTTATTACATAAAATTTGAACATTTTTTGTGGGAGTTGGTCATCATTTGCTTTTCACTTTTACAGAATGTCAAATATCTATAGAAATTTCTATGAATGATTTATGAAACAAATATCCCCCTAACTGCTCAAAAAAAGGCTTCACTGCCTACATTTCCCAACCAGATTCCTGAGAAAAATAATAGGTTTTGCTTATTTTACAGTGTAATACATACAATTCTTTTTGAAATATAAAAAAGGAAGACTTCTAAAACATAAGTCCCCTTCTACTTACAAAGTTTTATAAAAATACATTAAATCATGTTTATTCTTTGACTTAACATTCCAGTTTATCAGAAAACCAAAACAGTAATACATAAACATGTGCAAACCACATTAATCTTGCAGCAATATAATATCAACGTCGTCATGAACACCTTGTAAAAGTAGCTCTCCTGGGTATGTTACAATCTTTCTTCGTTTTGCAGCTTTGAGTGTCCCTACTAATGCTTCAAAGAGGTTGGCACATTTGTCATCTTGAAAAAGGACCCCAAACTTCACGCTTAATTTTCCATCAGCATCTAATTTAAGAAAATACAATGTTAGCAAGCACAAAGTCTGTTTCCTTGCTCCATGGGTGGTAAACTTACAAAGTCTTTAATAAATAGCTAACTATAGGTTAATCAATATCAAAATTCAACACTTTGCCAAAAATTCAAGGTAGCTGCTTCCTGTATCCAAGTGATGAAATAAACACAATGTGTTTTAGGCCTCCTAGCCTTAGCATTATCTAGACAGAAGCTGAATGGAAACAAAGAAACACTTAGAAAAGGTGGACATGCTATGGTGCTATATAGTAGATGAATTTCTCTCAATTTTGATGTTTTTGTTTGTTAGCTCTTGTTTCTGTTTCCTGAGACAGGGTCACACTGTGTAGTCCAAGCTCACCTTAAACTTGCTATGCAGCCCTAATTGAACTTGAACTTATAATCTGCCTACTTCATACTCCAAGCGTCAGGATTACAAGCATACACTACCACACGTGACTCAATATTTTTTTAAAAATTGTATTAAATCAACAAAGAAAACAAATCAAAAAGAAACCCGGGATCAAGGGCAGCATTTCTCTTAAGTGTGCTCTGCAGCTCCTGGGTGGGAGAGGAGGACTTAAAAATGCATATTTCTCAAGTCCACTGAATCTAAATTCTGGGTAGGCCTAGGAATCTGCAATCAACAAGAACACTAGGTTATTGTATTTGGAGGCCAGTTTTTAACACAGACATTAAAAATTAAGATGAAAAAAAATTGACAAAGAGCAGTAAAAATGGGAATGTCACTAGTTGTTGACATAAGCTGAACTGCTGAGTACCCTCAAGCGTATTCTTCAAGTTCTCTGCACTTCAGTTATTCATGCACCAAACTCAGGGGAAAATACCTCAGATAGGGTTGTTGCATGGATAAACAGATACTGTATGCAAAGGTAAAGCTATTTATAGACTGTCCCACATATAGTAAATTCTCAGTTTAGATTAAATTTTAAAAAGCACCAAAGGCAGAAACCTGGGTCCAATCTTGGAGCTGTCCTGCTCTCTCATCTCTCAATCTACAAACGTGCAGGTGATCTCACCTTCCTGGGTCTTCTGCAGAGCTACACTCTCCTCTCCAATGTGAGCTCATTCCCAGCTTGAGGCCCTAATTGCTTCCTACCTGGATAAAAGCAAGCTGGTCACTAACTCCTTCTCAGCCTCCCTTTCCTCATTTTTGCCCTCTAATACATCACGCACGCTGTTGTGGGATAAAAAGCATAGGAGAAATTGTATAATATGCACATCTGGCTGAGACTCTTCTACTGTCAGTGGCTCCCTATCACCTACAAAATACAGTGAAGCTCATGACCTCCCAGCTAAGATTCCAGTCATGCATCCACCCACTCACTGCTGCCTGGTGTTCCGCTACAGCTCCATACACCATATTATCTAGTCACAGCGCTCACCTACGGTGCCCCAAGAGATCCTGCTTTCATCATTTCACCATGTTGAGCTATCTGCCAAGCATCCCAGATCCCTTTGCCTAGTGAAATCCTTTTTATTCAAAAATGGACTCAAATGCCATCTTCTCAGGGACCTCCTCCATGATTTCATCAGTTAGTATCTCTTCTTATAAAAATTGAGTGTATGTCTATCAAAGCACCTACCATCAACTATAGTAACAATAGATAACATTTACTAAGGACTTGCTATGTTCTTAGAACTGTTCGATGCATTTTGCCATCATTAAAATTCACTTACTCCTAATTTTACAGAGAAGACTCCATTGATTCTAAGAAGCACCATTATTTTATATTCTAATTAAAGTGCCCATTGAACAGTAGCATACCATGTATTAAAATGCATCCTTGTGCTGGGCATGGTGGGCACGCCTGTAATCCCAGCACTCGGGATGCTGAAGCAGGAGGATCGTTGTGAGTTTGAGGACAGCCTGGACTACAAAGTGAGCTCAAGGCCAGCCTGAACTGCATAGATCGAGACCCTGCCTCAAAAAGACAAAAAGAAAAAAAAAAAAGATGCATCCTTGTTTTACAGATTTTAAGATATGAAAAATATATCTTCTTAAATTGACAGAGTTGTATATATTTAAAATATGTGGCACGATGTTTTGGAATATGTATACAATTGTTAAACTGAGCTAATTAACATATATATTACCTACCATATTGGGGGTGAGAACCCTAAAAATCACTCTCAGCAATTTTCAGTTGAACTGCTGGGATAGAGTATTATTGTTATACAAATAAGGAAATCAATAAATAAAAGTGTGGTAATGTGCCCGAAGACACAGAGCAAGTCTGTAGAGAAGCTGTGATTCATTCCCGAAGAGTGTGACTACAGAGCCCAGGTTCTTAACCACTTCCTAATGCTTCCAGCTTTTCTGTCTTTCGGCTACCTAAAGAACTCAAGGGCTGAGATGCAATTTTGTTTACTTCTCTATCTCCTGCATCACAGCACAAGAAATACTTGTAGGACGAAAGCATTTAAATCTCCAAATAATCATTCTCCATTTAATCTTTTCTCACTGGATGAAAAATGAGACTTAAAAGAGATTGACTTTAAAAGAAACAGATAAGACTTCATCAGTTTCCAGCTTGAGCCCATGCATGATATGTAGATTAGTTGAAATTGCTCCAGACAGAACTTAAATAATTAACCATAACATGTCAAAAGATGACACATCTCCATATATGATTTCCAGCTCAATAAGTCATCTTTCATCAAGAACAAGATAGTCAAGGTGTCTTGGTAAAGATGCAAAATTGCACATACAAATGGTGCTATGTATCTCAAGTCTTCTAATTTGTAAAGCTTCTCATTTGAAGCAGATTTCAATCTGCTGCAGTAGAATACAGACGCACTCCCAGGGCAACAGTAAGATTCATCAAACTCAAATTACAAAATCAACATTAAAAAAAACAGCTTTTCTGTACACCAATAATCAACCAGCAGGGAGAGAAATCAGGAAAACAATTCCACTCACGATACTTTCAAATAAATACATAAATGAAACACTAAGAAACTACTTAACCAAGGAGGTGAAAGACCTCTGCAAAACAAAACAAAACAAAAAAACAACCTTGCTGAACAATGAAGAAACTAAACAAGGCAACAGAAGAAGATGGAAAGATCTCCCATGTTCATAGACTGCCAGAATTAGTATTTTTAAATTGGCCATAATACCTATAGTGATCTACAGATTCAATACAATCCACATCAAAATTCAAATGACAGTCTTCACAGAACTAGGAAAAACTATCCTAAATTCACACAGAAACACAAAAGACCCTGAGTAGCTACAGTAATCCTAAGCAAAACAGCAAGGCTGGAGGCATCACAATACTTGATCTCAAATTACACTGCAAAGCCATAGTAACAGAAACAGCATGACACATGTCAGACACACAGTCAATGGAACAGAACAGAGGACACAGAAACAAACCCACACAAGTACAGCCACCTGATTCTGGACAAAGGAGCCAAACATATATATTGGAGAGAAGACAGCCTCTAAAACAAATGGCCCTGGGCAAACTGGATATTCAGATGCATGAGAATGAAAATAATCTCTGCGTGTCACCATGTACAAAAATCCACCGAAAATGGATCAAAGACCTAGGTCTAAGACTTCTGATATTTGCCTGAATTTTTATCTATTTTCACCAACTATGTATCAAGAACCTTGAGGAAAAGGAACATACCTATGTCACTTGTGCTTACATAGGACTTAGCATATGTAGATATTAAACAAATACTGATCATATGATTAAACTCACTTGATTGCTACATCCACACCACTTCTATATGCCTCCTTTATCTTCTATTTGTACATTTCATTAATGTATTTAGAGTTGATGTAGAAATAATGTCACTAGAGAAAACCAAAAAAGGGGTGAGGGCTGGGAGTGTAGCTCAATAGTAAAGTACTTGCTTAGTGTGTTTGAGGCTTTGGGTATGATCTCCAGCACTATCAAAAGGAAGAAAAGAAGGGAAGATGGAGAGGGGAGGAGGAGGGGAGAGGAGGGGGAAGGCGAGAGGGAGAGAAAGAGGGACAGGGACAGGCAGATGGAGACTCTCCAAAGATCTCCTTGTCCTAATGTCCTAATCTCTAGGACCTGTGAATATGTTGCCTTCCATGGCAAAAGGAACTTTTCAGATGAGATTAATTTAAGGACCATGAAGTGGAGAGATTGTCCTGGATTATCTGGATCAGCACAATGTAATCATCACAGGGTCCCTAAAAATGGAGCAGAGGAGAGAAGAGGAGGTGAAAGTCATTTAATGTGAGGACTCCACCAGTTGCTCCTGGCTTTGAAGATAAAGGGGGCCAGCTGGGGATTTAGCTCAGCGGCAAAAGCGCCTGCCTGGCAAGCGCAAGGTCATGAGTTCGGTTCCCGGTACCGGAGAAAAACCAAAAAAATAAAA